AGAAGAAGAAGAAGAAGAAGAAGAAGAATAGTGTCGAACTGAGAAGACAAAGAGTCTAACCCAGTCGACCATATATTTAAATTTGGCAAATAAGTATACAAAGACAGAAATGCCCCGCATATGTAGGAGGCATATACCTAACACATTACTTGGATRGAAATGTTCTAGCTTGACTTAGAACATTCCACAACAGATTTCTTTGATCAACCATTTCAAATCACCACAAATGTTTCCAATCTCTTTTGAGTGTTCGATAACACCGTGCATGAAAAGAACACCTGAAATGTTAATCCAAACCAGCTCATAATAGAAAAAACTCCCATCAACAGAGATCTCCTTTATAGACAAAGTTCTTGGTTTCTGAACTGCAACAATTCCCGTCTTATTTCTGGAGCTTCCCACTTCGAAAACTAAACAGAAATAATCCTATCCCCAAATCCCTCTCCATTGATCTCGATGCATTTCATTCGCTGTTCACCTACTCTGCTACCAACTGTTCACTCAGATTAGAATTGGTACATCTACCTACTAGATAAGCACCTATCACATACAATTTCACCTTATCCCCTCCAATATCTTGCTCTATGATCTTCCAGAACCTCCTCATATTATTTCCATATTAAACTCCTCCCAACATCTTTTATAAAGATTTCTAGAGTGCAAAAATGGTAATGCCTTACTGTGCAGGGTATGAATATCCAAAGTACACTTAAATCCCATTCATAAAAAAGAAAAGAAAAAGTATGTTTCTTTACAACTAAATAARAAAAGTACACAGCACATAAACCTTGCCACAAAAAATGCATCAAGGCAAGAGAAATGTGCCTATCCATGGCAAGGCCTGACCTTGTTACCAATCTGCATGCATAATAATTGAAAAAAAAAGAGTAACGATTTTATTTATTGAGATCATTAAATTTCCTCTCWAAACATGGAAAATCATCATATCCAAAAGACAATAATATTTTAAATATGTTAATTTCATTATTTCAAAAATGATACTGATATAGTATTCAGTAGAGCAATTTTATATCAAATTAGCAACTTAAGAAGGGTAAAAATTTAGAAGATTAAAAATTTAAGATGGAGAGTAAGYAAAGGAGAAAAAGAAAAAGAGTAGAGCTACTATTTTATTTTATGTAAGAGAGAAAGTAATACAGAGAGAGAGACAGAATAAAGAAAAAAATAAAAAGAGACCCTTTTCCTTATTTTCTTTTYTTCTTTCCTTATATATATAGGGACTCAGTTCGCCACACAATCTACACTAACAAAACCAGACTGGCATAAAAGCCTCTTCTCCTTGATCCGATCACTCACAGCATGGCAAATCCTTCTTCCTCTATGCACAAATAAAGAAACTCCTATGCACAGAATTATTGGAAGATAATGAATTGGTTCAGGTGATTAATGGAAAGAATAGAAGAAGTTTTAGCCAGAGAATAATAGAGTGTTAATAGAAGAGAAGAAGAAAAAGAATAGAGTTTGGCTTGATAGGAAATTGTAACTGATCTCTCCTAATTGTCGCCCCCTTGTATTAATATTATAATAAGTGGTGAAATTACACTACTGCCTTTACTTGAGTAAAAATAAAAAAACCCACCGCCATACACTTCTATCGGTAATGATATTATAATATGGTGCCTGCCTTGTGATTTTTGTTGCCTAGGCGGCACTTTGTTGCTATAAATCAAGGAGTTCAGGCTYGCCTGGGTAACACCTTGACAACCGATGCATATGCCTCTTGCCTTGAGGTTATAGCCTTTTTAAAYCTTGGGTGGAACATAAAAATTGAAGAACAAGAATTATTTTCAGTGTTAATGGACTATTCAGTATTTAAATTTGTCCATATTCAACTGCTTAACTGACCATCTCAAATCTAAAGATCAGGAAACAGACATGCCGGCAGCATTTCTAAGAGGACTTTCAACTGCACGTCTATCTGGACGAGCTCAAATCATACATGATACTTTGGTGATACCCAACACATCACCAGTGGTGAAAGAAAATTCTTCTGGAGATCTGATCTTTTATTTGGATGGAGCTCATAGCCCTGAAAGTATGGAAGTTTGTGCGAGATGGTTCTCCAGTGCTGTGAAAGAGGACAAGATATCTCCTTTTRAGGAGCAAATAGTTGAGCGTTTGTGGAGAAATGATGATGCTCGCCATGGAAAGGAGAACATTAGAGGAACCAGTAAAATCGCAAAACAGGTTAGGCCTGTAAGGAAATTTGGAATATGACTCCGAGGTGACCTTATTGTTAATAGATGTATCTTGTGTTTTCTTCTCCATCTATTTTAAGGTTTCTGTTTATAAACCTAGTTCATATCTTGCTCGTAGATCCTTTTGTTCAATTGCATGGATGTGAGAGATCCACAAGCTCTGCTTCCTCGACTTGTCAATACATGTGCTTCCTCTGGTACTGCTCAGAACAACCAAGATATGATTATAGTGATTTCTGTTTCATGAGAAATTTATTCCAGTGTTGTCAAACCAAGGTTGTTCACAAACCCAGAATGGGGACTGAGTCATGTGCCATGGTTTGCAATTTTGATATTGATAGACATTTCACCATGTAGAGATGGAGAAATTCTGGAGATATTTCACTAATTTTGTTAAAATATTTGGAAAATCTAAAAAAAAATAGGAAAGTTTTCTAGTAACATGGAATTAGTTAATAGAGCGTCAAGGAATTGTTAGAAATATAATTGCACATTTAAGGCTCAAGAGACCATAGCTAACAACTATATAAATCAAATAGGAGAAAATTAAAAGATATCATAGTGACTTAGTAAGTGAGTCATATCAAAATAGTAATCAATTATCTAATTACTAATTCCCAATTTGTTCTTTTAGGAAAAGATTTTTAAAAATCATGATGATTTTAATGAAATATCAAAAAATTAGTAATATTCTAAAAAATTTGAGTTCTTAAATATATAGTCTATCAATGACATCTAAAATATCACCAACATATTGGAAAAATAACACAGGTATTAGTTAAAAAGATTCCCAGAAAATTTTGTATCACTGCCTAGCAAAATGGGATATTTCTTGGAAATTTTTCCTATCGCCAATATTGCAAACCATATCATGTTTCTAGAAGTCTAACCATGATTTTACTTTTTTATTTTGAAAAATTGACATCTTTAAAAATCAGTAAGGCACTTGGTAACTGTCTGAGCAGTTCAAGTGTTTGAATCTGACCTGATCCAAGTCTAACAACATTATTTTGTTGTCTCCTACACTTTCAATTTTATCTTTTGAATTCTCAACTTCCCTTTTTTTTGGAAAGACTGGAATATTTTCTATATGGTCTTGAAACTTAATCGAGCTCTAACGTAATGTTGAATGCTGTACTAACTTGACCAGGTGTTCATTTTTCAAAAGCCCTTTTTGTTCCAAGTATGTCAACATATAACAAGGTTACATCTGCAGCTTCAATCATACCTTCAGATTTTTCTAACAAGGACTTGACTTGGCAGTTCACCCTCCAGAGAACTTGGGAGAAGATTATGCATGGGAAAGGTAAAAGTTGAATTGCTTGTCTATCTAAAACATGCGTAATTGATTCTTGGGTCTGGACAGATAATTATTTCATCTCAGACAAGTAATGTAGTGCAATGGCAAATAAGAACTTTGTTATTCAATTAGCTTGATATGCCATGATTAGATGCAATTCACTTGTTGGATGTTTCATTCAGTTGAACTTAGATTTACAGGTTATTGAGAACTACATGTCACTTGGGTGAAAATGTGAAGCTAAAGCAGTGGTGAGAGATTCTAGTAGAAGGCTATTTTTCTTGATCTGTAGATTGGACCTTTTGTAGGCTTTACAGGCTATCCTATTAAAGCCGCATTCCGGTCAATGAGAACCTTTAGTATGCCTCTTCATGAATGCTTTAAATCAAGTGTAGTTGTTTCGAATGAGGCAGTAGGAAGCTTTTTCCTGAGAGGAATTGAGTGTGCTTCTCCATTGGAATTGAGCTCTCAGTTCTTGCATTAGCTGCTTTACTTCATGATATTTCCATGTTTCTACGGTCCCTGGTTGTTCTGCAGTTAACATTGCACTACTGTCCAGGAGTCTCCTACTAACAAGTCCTGTAAAACAGTTTACTCAATTTTAATCTCCTTTACCAATTGGTCTAAAATATAGAGCCAAAACCACATCATTCATGACCTCTAAACACCCCACCTATACTTGATTCCTGGATTGCCTAAGCTGCTGCCATCAAAAAGTTGTCTGATAAAGCTTGTCTTACATTTGTGAAAACAGACCAGCTTTCTTGGGCTAGGCCTGGGCCGAGTTTAGCGTCTAGGCCCAGCACAGACCCCGAGCATGAAATTTAAGCCCGAGTTGGACCTGGTTCCAGGCCTATCTTTTAATAATTGCATATACCACATATGCAAGTAAAGATAAAATGGTAAACCTCTTCCTTTTCTACCAATAGAAAAGATTGAAGGTAAAATGATGAAAAGACATTTAGATATTGAATTTTTACGGTACTTCAAATGTCTTAACGAATAGATTTAAAGATTAAAACATTTGGACAACCACCATATAGTAATAGATATATAATATATGTAAATGCTATTCTTTATAACAAGATTTAAAAAACCGACCCGAAAACGGAACCGCTGTGGCCACCAGTTTCCGGTTCAATGGTTCGACCATCCGAGTCGAACAGTTCAGGCGGTTTGGATTATTAGGGCAACTTTTAGACTATTATCAGTATGAGAAAAGAGAGACTATGTAATTGTCAGATGAGAAAGAAAGAAAGCAAGAAAGAAGGAAAGAAGGAAAGCAAGAAAGAAAGGAAGGAAGGAGAGAAAGGAAAAAAAAGGAAAGGAAGGAGAGAAAGGAAAAAAAAAAGGAAAGGAAGGAGAGAAAGGAAAAAAAAGGAAAGGAAGGAGAGAAAGGAAAAAAAGGAAAAAAAAAAGGAAAGGAAGGAAGGAGAGAAAGGAAAAAAAAGGAAAGGAAGGAGAGAGGAAAAAAAGGAAAAGAAGGAAGGAAGAAGAAGGAAGAGGAGGATGATCTGACGTTCACTGGCCGGCGATGGCAACGGCGGCGACAACAAATGCAGCGGCAACAGTCGCAGATCTCAGATCTGAGATCTAATTTCTCTCCAACCTCTGAGATCTCAGATCTGAGATCTGATTTCTCTCCAACCTCTTGTCTCAGTTCCTCCCCTCTCTAATCTCCTCTGCATCCTTTATTAAATCGCAAACCGTTGTCCAGGTCGAACGTGCCGACGGTTCGACCACCTGGGTCAGCGGATTTCTGACCATGTCAACAGTTTTTGGCCCAGGAACGGATTAAGGGTGAAAAGGAACTGGTTGCCTGGACAGTTTCCGGGCTGAACGGTCCAACCGTCCAGGTCAACTACAGTTCGAAAACACTGCTTTATAATATATGAGATATAATAGAACACGCACATAACATATGAACACACACACCCATCCGGCATTGGTAGAGTAATTAGAGATGTAGAAGGGAGAATGGTAGCACTATATTCAGGGCCAATAGGAGAAGGTGACTCAGGGCTGAAGTTTTTACTCCCCCCAAGGGCTCAGATTGGCAAAACAACTGGACCTCCAACAAATTGAACTGGAGGGGGATTCAAAAATGTTGTGATGGTTAGAAACAGGCAGCATGGGAATTTGGGTCCACAGGCAGACATTGAGGGAGATTATAAGATTATCAAGGGAGCTAGGTGCAACTATTAGATGGGTTAGAAGATCAGAAAATGGTTTGGCTGTAAACTGGCCAGACAAGGACATTTAGAGGTGATTTGTTTTGAGCTGAATTGTAATTGAATCTAGTTGAAGCTAGGAGATACACTTAAGCAAGCTGGGCATGATATCCATTTTTGCTCAGCTTGAGGGGGGAGTGTTGAAATGCAAATGATATGACTTGAACCCTGGAAATTTGTATCAAAAACCTGCACTTAAACTATCAAGCCACTTCTTAGAGACATGAAATAACTCACTAAATTTATTATTTATGTTATTTTCACAACTCACAGTTGGACTGGAGGCCAGTCTGGTTCTGTCTGGTCCAAGTCTTACAACATTGGGACTGTCCATTCTTGATGTTTGCCCTGGCAATGGCCTTAGTTTCTGTTAAAAGGCTGTTAATTCTCTAAGTATAGTACTGCAAGGGTACTATTGTAATTTTCTCCTTTTATTTTTTATATCCTGTCGCCCTAGTATATATACCAAAAGTTGGTGCTGCCAGCAGGACYTTTTGGCTCTCAGATCTCTCTTCTATCTTCTTCTCTCTCTCTTCTCTCTTCTTCTCTCCCGCATAACATGGTATCAGAGCGGGACTATCAGATCTGAAAGGAGAGGTCGAGTGAACAGTTTCCTTCGCACCAGATTTCCATATCTGCCACCCTCATCTACTGTTCGGCTGATTGAAGATCAAGGTTTTCTCATGCACTGAAGTAACTTCTCCCCTAATCTTTTTTTTTTCTGGTCATGTGTCAGGGCAGAACCTGTACTAGGTCTGCTGGTTGGATGTGAGGTGATCAGCACCTCTTTCTTTCCTTTTTTGTGGGGTCGACTGACCCCTTTATAAACTGTAGGTCGTGAAGACCTTTTGCGTGCTGCAATAGCAGCTTTTATGGTGCACTGAAGRTCAGAGAGTGACCTGTACTTGCTGTAACAGCATTTCTGTTGATGCATAGGTCAAGAGATGACCTGTATGCACTGTGACAGCACCTGTGTTTGATTCTGTAGGTCAAGGGATGACCTGTTAGTGCTGTAACAGCACCTGTGTTTTACAGAAAAGGATTGTGTTTCCAAAGAAAAAAGGGGTTTCCTTTCTCCCTTGGTGTTAGACCTTTTTTAATGTTTTGTGCCCACTTTAAGAGTTTTTGAATCTGTAATCATGAGTGGTGAAGATTCTGCTACATCCAGTGTTTCCTCAATGCAGAATGAAATGAGTGGGGGTGTGGACCTATCCTTTCCCGTGGCTGTTATTCCTCTTGATGGCTTAAATTATTTAGAGTGGTCAAGAGGGATCAAGTTGTACATCACTGCAAGGGGAAAGATAGGTTATATAAATGGGAGAATCAAAGAACCCAATTCTGGGAGTACTGAATATGATAGATGGAACCAGGAAAACAGCATGGTCATGTCCTGGCTTTTAGTGTCTTTGCAACCTCAAATAAGAAGGAATTTTATGTGGGCTGAAACGGCAAATGAGATCTGGGAACAAGCAAAATCAACCTATTCTGAACTGCGTGACTATGCAAAAATCTACCGGTTACAGGCAGAATCGTCCACTTGTAAACAGGGGGAGAGGTGTATGTCTGTGTACTATTCAGACTTGACCTCTGTCTGGAAGGAATTAGACCATTATCAAATTCTGGACTCGAAGTGTGATGAAGATGCAAGTTGTACAAAAAACTTGTTTCCTAGCAAAGAGTGTTTGCTTTCCTACATGGCTTGAACCTTACATATGAGTCTATTAGAGTCYAAATCCTAGGTAGCAAGGATCTTCCATCCATCCAAGAAGTTTATGCTCCAGTGCAATCAGAAGAAAGCAGAAGAAATTTGATGAACAATTCTRGAGGGGATGCAGTCGTGTTGGTAGYGAAAGGGAGTGCTACTACAGGTGGGTGAAATACCTTTAARAAAGGGGATTTTTAGAAAAAAGGTGGATGACAAGGACAAATTGTGGTGTACTCATTGCCAGAAACCCTGACACACCCAAGACACATGTTGGGATCTTCATGGGAAGCCAAAATGGGCTCAAGATCTGAGTAAGAAGCAAGGTTCATATCTGAATAAAAAGTAAGGACAGCAAGGTACAATAAAGCACACTATGGCAAATATGGCTACCCAGGAGAATCAGCCCCCCATTACTACTGTGACTCAGACACACACCTCTGGATCTAACCCAAGGAGGATATTATTAATTCCTTCTGTGACCATTTAGAGCTCTATGGTAGAACAATTCGTCAGATGGATGCTCCTCCCTCAACTTCATTTGTGTCTACATCAGGCAACTCTGCCACAGCTTTCCATGTAGCATCTCATACCCCTGACACTCCTTGGATCATTGATTCTGGAGCGTCTAAACACATGACTAGTAAGTTCTCTTACTTTCAAACCTATCACCTCCTGACAAGGTGAGACTAGCTGATGGATCATACTCTATCATAGCAGGTCAATGAACCATTTCTCTTCCCTTTGGCATTACCCAGTCTAATCTTTTACATGTCCCAAAATTTCCCATTAATTTGTTCT